TAACATTCCAAATTCCACCAGCCTACACAGTCCCTGAACCATGTCCTATCTTTCCTGTTCAACCGGAGCTGGATCACTATGAAGAGATGGAAAAGGAGTGGAGGCTCAGAGAAGAAAAGCGTGAACAAGAAATGAATGTAATGAAGGAGGCCATCTCTGAAGCAGTTAAAAGTGTTCAAACTTCAAGGAAAATCACAGAACTTGAGTATGAAGACCTTTGCATGCACCCTGATTTGGAAATACCCGAAAGTTACAAAATTCCAAAATTTGAAATGTTCAATGGTATTGGCAATCCCATGGATCACCTGCGAGCTTATTGTGACATACTTGTGGGTATTGGAAAAAATGATGCATTAATTATGAGGTTGTTTAGTCGAAGCCTGAGTGGGGAGGCGTTAGAATTGTTCACGTCTCAAGAACTTCGTTAGTGGTCTACATGGGGGGATCTATCCAAAGATTTTTTTGGAAAGATTCCAGTTTAATGTCGAAGCAGTCCCTAATAGCTACTATTTGGAAAAAATCAAGCAAAAAACCACGGAGGACTATCGTGAATATGCGTTCGTTGGAGGAAAGAAGCTGCAAAGGTACAACATATGATGACTGAAAGCGAAATAACCACTGCTTTTATTCGAGCTCAAGAGCCCGAGTATTAAGAAAGGATGTAGCCCATGATGGGACAAAAGTTTTCGGAGCTGATCAAAATGGGAGAAGTCATAGAAGATGGACTCAAAACTGGGAAGGTTACGAGTCTCACTGCTTTGCAGGCTGCCAACAAATCCTCACCATCCATGGCCGCAGGATTTGCTAGAAAAAGAAAAAGGATGTCTCCGTTGTATCTTTTAGCCCAAGGTCAAGGCCACAAAGGTATTTTGAGTCTGGTTCTGCCATTGGAAACACCAACCGATTCTCCACCGTTAATAATTACCAACCACCTCCACAAGCTCCACTTCCAATCTACTATGCACAACAGAACTACCAACCATCACCACCTATCTACCAAAATCAACCACCAACCTACCAAATACACCACCAAATCACCAAGCCAATATACCAGCCTACCAAAGTCCTGGACAAAACAACCCAAATACCAATAATTTACCCCGCCCTAACCTAGAAAGAAAGTCTCCCAGATTTTTCACTCCTTTGGCAGAAACACGTACCCAACTCTTTGAGCGTTTGAGAGCAGCTGGATTGATCCAACCAGTAGACGCAAGGACAATTAATCCCACAACAAAGTTCTTTCGAGCGGATCAATGATGCGCTTACCATTCTGCAGGAGCAGGACATGATACAGAAGGGTGTATCAATTTAAAACATAAGATTCAAGATTTGATCGATAATAGAGTCATCACTCTTCCGGCCCCTTCCCCCAATGTGAATCTTAACCCATTAACAAATCATGGGGAAGCGACCATCAATATGATTGAAAGTGATGAAGATTGGCTCGCTAATGGGACCATCGGTAAAACAAATGTCAACTCACTCATACCAACAGTGGCCTCTTTGACCATAAAGGCTCATCCAGAGTTTGTTGTAATAACTGCACCTCATCGGGCATTTGCTTTGGCAAAGGAAAGAAGCAACAAGCAACCCAAAGAAAAGTTCATTGTCCAGGTGGCTACAATTCAAGGGATGACATGTTCTGGAAGATGCTATATTCTGGAAGAGTTAGCTCAAGAAACACGAAGAAAGGAAAACCAAAAAAGGCTGATCACAGAAGGTGAGGCTGAATAGTTTTGGCGAAGAATGCAGCCTCAGGAGTATTCCATTTTCAAGCATTTGGAGAAAACTCCCGCTCAAATTTTTGTTTGGGCTCTATTGATGAGTTTTGAGTACCATCGGAAAGCATTGTTGAAGGTACTCGATGAAGCATATGTACCAACGGGAACAAGTGGTGATAATCTGGCAACTATGGTTAGTCATGTCATTGGGAGTCACCAAATCTCTTTTAAAGAAGAGGAGTTACCAGTTGAGGGAATGATGCACAACCGTGCCTTGTATATCACTGTCAAATGTAGGGACAAGTTTGTAGCTCGAGTATTGATTGATAATGGTTCAAGACTCAATATTTGCCCGTTATCAACCCTTACTCAGCTAAATCATGATGTTGGAAAAATCTGTCGAAGTCGCATGAATGTAAAGGCGTTTGATGGTTTGCAAAGAGAGACCATGGGGGAGGTAGACTTGGGTATCCAAATGGGGCCTGCAGAATTTGTCACTGAATTCCAAGTGATGGGTATATCCACAAGCTACAATATGTTGCTTGGAAGACCATGGATCCATGCGGCCGGCACAGTTCAATCCACATTGCATTAAATCTTGAAGTTCATCTGGGAGGACCATGAAGTCATTCATGGTGAAGGGAGTAATCGTAGTTACCCCGGTTTCTCTGTTCCCGTTATTGACGATTCATCTCAAGGTACTGACTTTCACATGATGGAGATAATGAATGCTCCTTTTGAAGATATAACACCGCATATCGGTGTATAAAATGCTTGCCACAACCATGCTTAGAAGCGGTTTTGAGCTTGGACGTGGGTTGGGCAAGAATTTGGATGGCATATCCGAACCTCTTCTTATCCCACTTCAAAATTTCTACTTTGGCGTTTGTTATACCCCAACAAAGGAGGAATTATTCGAAGCAGAAGCAAGGAAGAAACATGGCCTTGATATACCAAAGCCTATTCCAGAATTGTACCAGTTATTTGTTGCTAAAGCTTTAGAGTCCGAGAGTGATGGTCTAGTGGAAGGGATGGGATGATTTTTTGATGAAGGAGATTGTGCTGTGATCTTGGAAGAATGCACTGCGACACCCACCATCCGAGATGCCAAACCTGAAGAGATGCTACAGAATTGGGTGGCCACTCCACTTATGATTCATCGAATTGCTTGGTAGACAAAGACAAGAATTTGAAGTTTTACTTTTGAAAATCGGTGTAGTTCGGACGAGGCCCGAAATAAACTTTTATGTCACTTTATTTTCATCGTAATGTTTAAAAAAGAAAGGACTCACATTGACATGAGTCATGATCAAAGTTTGTACACCTTTTTTCCAATGAAAAACCTCGTTTATTTTTTATCTTACCTCTGCAAATTACTTTCTGATATATACATTTAAATTCTTTCTATCTAACATGATTGCTTTATTTTCTTTTCAATAAAAATGAATCTAAACTTGCCAATGTCATGACATGTCACGAACACGATGAACTAAGTAAAGTCAATGAAGATGAATGTGAAGAATATGATGAGGAAACTATGATGCCTGAACACCTTACTAACGACTTGAGGAACCTTGCAGATAATAAAAATCCCAACCTGGATGAGACAGAGATAGTCAACTTTGGAGATGACGAGTCGGTTAGAGAAACCCGAGTCAGTATACATTTGACAGCAATAGAAAAGGAAAAATTGGTTGAGCTACTTAAACAATACATCGATGTGTTTGCCTTGTCTTATGATGATAAGCCAGGATTAGGCACTGATATTGTTTCCCATAGGTTGCCTATCAATTCAGAGTATTGTCCGGTAAAGCAAAAAACCAGAAAGTTCAAACCTGATCTGAGTTTAAGAATAAAGGAAGATGTCATGAAGCAGATCGAATCGAAGGTCGTCGAAGTGACTAAGTATCCCACTTGGTTGTCTAACATTGTTCCAGTAGCAAAGAAAGACGGAAAGATTAGGATATGCGTGGATTATCGGGATCTCAACAAAGCAAGTCTAAAAGACAATTTCCCGTTGCCAAACATCCATATACTCATTGATAATTGTTCCAAGCATGAGTTATAATCTTTCGTGGATTGTTTTGCGGGATACCACCAGATTTTAATGGATGAAGAAGATGCAGAGAAAACAACATTCATCACCCCTTGGGAAGTCTACCATTATCGAGTGATGCCGTTCGGCCTCAAGAATGCTGGAGCCACTTACATGAGAGCATGACCACCATATTCCATGATATGATCCACAAAGAAATTAAGGTGTATGTGGACGATGTCATCATAAAATCCCGCGAGAGTTCAGATCATCTGACGCACCTGGAAAAGTTCTTTGACAGGTTACGTAGGTATGATTTGAAGTTGAACCCAACCAAGTGTGCATTTGGAGTACCTGCAGGAAAGTTACTCGGTTTCATAGTTAGTAGAAGAGGTATCGATCTTGATCCTTCCCAGATCAAGACAATTCAAGACTTGCCTCTTCCAAAGACTAAGAAGGAAGTAATGAGTTTTCTGGGGAGACTGAATTGCATCAGTCGATTCATAGCCCAATCAACGGTGATATGTGAACCCATATTTAAGTTGTTACGAAAGAATGTGCCAACCAAGTGTACCGAGGATTGTCAGAAGGCTTTTGACAGTATCAAAACTTACCTTTAAAATCCGCTAGTATTGGTGCCACCACGCGCGGGTAGCCCTTTGTTATTGTATCTATCCGTCTCTGACAATGCATTTGGGTGTGTGTTGGGACAACATGATGAAACTGGAAGAAAGGAGAGAGCTATATACTACTTGAGCAAGAAGTTCACATCGTATGAGGCTCGTTATACCCTCTTAGAGAGAACTTGTTGTGCTTTGACTTGGGTTTCTCAAAAATTGAGACATTATCTGTCGGCTTATACAACACATCTTATTTCATGAATGGACCCACTCAGGTACATATTTCAGAAGGCAATGCCCACAGGAAAGATAGCAAAATGGCAAATGTTGTTGAGTGAGTTTGACATTGTATACATGACTCAAAAAGCAATCAAGGGCCAAGCCTTGGCCGATCACCTTGCTGAAAACCCAGTAGATGAAGGATATGAACCACTTAAAACGTATTTCCCTGATGAAGAAGTATTGTTTGTAGGGGAAGACATATCAGAATCATATCCTGGTTGGAGAATGTTCTTTGATGGAGCAGTTAACTTTAGAGGATCAGGAATTGGAGCAGTATTGATATCTGAATCAGGACAACATTTTCCAGCAACAACGAAGCTTAGATTTTGATGCGCTAATAACATGGCTGAGTACGAAGCTTGTATTCTTGGCATCAGAATGGCTCTCGACATGAACATTCAAGAATTATTGATAATTGGTAATTCAGACTTGTTGATTCATCAAGTTCAAGGAGAATGGGAAGTGAAGAATCCTAAAATCTTACCTTAAGTACAATTGGTACGGAGGTTATGTAAAAGATTTAGGAAGACCGAGTTCAGACACACCCCGAGAATACAAAACGAGTTTGCTGATGCTCTCGCAACCATATCCTTCATGATACAACACCCACATTGACCCACTTGAGATAGGTTTAAAAGAACAACCAGCGCATTGTTTACATGTGGAAAAGGAATCGGATGGAAATCCATGGTATATCGATGTGAAAAGGTACTTAGAAGCTGGCGAATACCCTGATAAAGCAACAAGCAGCCAAAAGAAAACAATTCGAAGAATGACAAACAACTTCTTTTTGAATGGGAGATTCTTTATAGGAGGACTCCTGATCTGGGATTACTAAGATGTGTGGATGATGTAGAAGCCACAAAATTGCTCGAAGAAGTGCACGCTGGAGTGTGTGGGATGCATATAAATGGGTTTACATTAGCAAATAAAATATTAAGGGCAGGATACTTCTGGATGACTATGGAAAATGATTGTGTTCGATTTGTCCAAAGATGTCATAAATGTCAGGTACATGGAGATTTGATCAAAGTAACTCCTCACGAGCTCAATGCAATGAGTTCTCCTTTGCCATTTGTAGCATAGGGCATGGATGTTATTGGACCAATTGAGCCTGCGGCCTCCAATGGTCATAGGTTTATTTTGGTCGCCATTGATTATTTCACGAAGTGGGTCAAAGTTGCTTCCTATAAAGCTGTGACGAAGAAAGTTGTGACTGATTTTGTTTGCAATAATTTGATATGTCGTTTTGGAGTTCCTGAGTCTCTCATCACGGACAATGGTGCAAATCTTAACAGTCATTTGATGAAAGATATATGTGAACAATTCAAAATTACCCACCGTAATTCAACTGCATATCATCCTCAAATGAATGGAGCTGTGGAAGCTGCCAATAAGAACATCAAGAGGATATTGAGAAAGATGATTGACAACTACAAATGTTGGCATGAAAATTTGCCGTATGCCTTGCTAGGTTATCGCACCACAATTCGAACTTCAACTGGAGCAACTCCATATTTGTTATTATACGAAACAGAGGCAGTGATACCGGCTGAAGTTGAGATACCGTCTTTGAGGATTATTCAGGAAGCTGGATTGAGCGATGCCGAATGGGTTCGTGATCGATATGAGCAGTTAACATTGATTGATGAGAAAAGAATGTGTGTTGTTTGTCACGGCTAGTTGTATCAACAGAGAATGATTCGTGCTTTCAACAAGAAAGTAAGAGTTCGAACATTTGAGGTAGGTCAATTGGTGTTGAAGCGCATTTTCCCTCATCAAGAGGAATATAAAGGGAAATTTGCACCTAAATGGCAAGGACCGTATGTTGTCCACAAAGTAGTGTCAAGAGGATCTTTGGTCCTAGCAGAGATGGACGGTAGAGTATGGAGAAAAGAAATCAATTCAGATGTCGTCAAGAGATATTACATTTGAAGAATGTTATTTCTTTCCTTTATTTCCTTGTAATCGCAATTTGTTCGTAATCTTTGTTGCATTAATATTTGGGACATTCCTTCTGTACTTGAACTACATTCAACCTGAATTCTCAAAAACGAGATACGTAGGTGGCCTATGTCGGCCTCGGTCGTTTTCTTATCAAAATTTCTTATTCATGTTAACTATCGATAGTGGAACTATGTTTGACCTGATTCCTGCCTCAACGGGATACGTAGGCGCCACAAGGGTTCGGTCATATTCCCAATAAGATTTCCATTTCCCTTCATAATGGAAACTGGGACAGAATTTTTGAGAATTCTACACGGAGAGTTCTTTTTTACAAACAAGGGTCAAAGATAATATCAAAATATCCTATTAGAGTATGATTTTAAGGAAATATCAAAAAATTACAAGACATCATGACCTTCGTGATTACCATCAAATTTCTTTTAAAACATTTAACTGGGAAAGAATTTTTTAGGAAGGCCTCAAAAATTCCATCAAGGGTACTCGGAATGTTAGAGTGAACTTCAAGTACTTCAATATGACATATCTACAAGGAGCTCTGAAATTCCAACAAGATACCTATCATGACAGAATCTGAGACAAAGGGTTTTGTTTGTGTCATGCATGTCGTGACAATTAATTGGCAGAGATTTTCTTTAAAACTATGTTTCTAAAAACTTCGCACATAACAAGTGTTTTAATTTAAAAATGATCTTGTCTTTTGTCTATTGCGATTCGTAGGGTCAACCAAACTTCAAAATATAGCAAGATAAGAAGCAAGACGATTGGATGAAATCAACACAGATCAGTGTTCCAAATCTAACATTGTTTTTGTGGATGCAGGAATAAATAAGATTGTCAAAGATAATATATTTCGGGAGAGCCTATCAGCAGATATCTTATTATGAGTGAAACATATCTACTTGACCAAAGAATACAACACACAGTCAAATCCATCATATTCAAATTCCAAGAAGGCCATGCATATTCAAACTGCCGAGAAGGCCATTCATATTAAATTGCCGAGAGGGCCATCATATTCAAAACCCAAGAAGGCCATCATATTCAAATGCCGAGAGGGCCATTGATATTCAAACTGCCGAGAAGGCCAGGCATATTCAAACTGCCTAGAAGGCCATGCATATTAAATTGCCGAGAGGGTCATTCATATCAAATTGCCGAGAGGGCCATCATATTCAAAAGCCAAGAAGGCCATCATATTCAAACGCCAAGAGGGCCATTCATATTCAAACTGCCGAGAGGGCCATTCATATTCAAACCGCCGAGAGGGCCATTCATATTCAAACTGCCGAGAAGGCCATTCATATTAAATTGCCGAGAGGGCCATCATATTCAAAAGCCAAGAGGGCCATCATATTCAAATGCCGAGAGGGCCATTCATATTCAAACTGCCGAGAAGGCCATGCATATTCAAACTGCCGAGAAGGCCATGCATATTCAAACTGCCGAGAAGGCCATTCATATCAAATTGCCGAGAGGGCCATCATATTCAAAATCCAAGAAGGCCATCATATTCAAACGCCGAGAGGGCCATTCATATTCAAACTGTCGAGAAGTCCGTGCATATTCAAAATGTCGAGAAGGCCATTCATATTAAATTGCCGAGAGGGCCATTCATATCAAATTGCAGGGAGGGCCATCATATTCAAAAGCCAAGAAGGCCATCATATTCAAACGCCGAAAGGGACATTCATATTCAAATGCCAAGAAGTCCATTGTATTCAAACGCCAAGAGGTCCATCATATTCAACCATTAAGACACATTAGTCTATTTTTTATCACTGCTATACTAAAAAAAGAGTACATTGAACAGTCATGTCGCAAATATGAGATACATATTTTATTTGCATTATGTCAAACTGATAGAAGTTAAGGTAAAATATTCAAGGAGAACAATTAAGTTCCAACATGGTGCGGACGACATTAAAAGGGATGTAGCACAACGTGAAACTTTTTTTCTTCGCAGCGAACTAGGACATAGTCTAAAGATGAGTATCAAACTCTTAGGACGCGAGCTGAGGAGCAACTTCCACCAAAATAAAACCACACCCCTATCAAAAGGCATGTGGGTTTGTCTTGTAGTTCATCGATTTCAATTTCACATCTACCAGAGGCAACTTTCTAATCTGAGTGAATGCGCACCGCGAACTTTTGAAATTATGTCCATGTAAGTTTTTACTTATGGATGTGAAGAGCTCCACATTCATGGCTAGGAGGTTGCAAGCCTATTTTCCACACTCGTTTTATTTTTCACTCCTCCAAACCAAAGGTTATCTTGCATAATAGATTTCCTTTTCAACCGATCGAGTCGAACTACAAACAACCTGATTCCTTAGGTTTAAGGATATGTAGGTGGGTTCAATGTTAAAAACTCAGTTGTATTCCAACATTCCCTCTCCAATTTTATTCTCGAGCATTTTGATACCTTCATAATTCGGTATCGATGTGGCTTTTGAATTCTTTTAAAATCGTGCGTTAAATCAAGCTTATCGAACTACAAGTGGCATAAATTCTCATATAGCCGGAGATATGTAGGAAACCCTTCTCAAGGGTTCGGCCATGATTCCTAAACCCTTTGCCAAATCTTTCCCTTAAAGATGAATGGGGTTGGTCAAAATTGGTTTGGTCAATTTCATTTTCCTCGAATTGCTTGCATCAACCCAAGTAAAATGAGGGACAGCTGTTGACACCCGATTTCGACCCTCCCCGGTATAAATTAGTTTTCGAGCTTCTTAAATTTCCAAACAATTTAAAATAATTAGTTTTATAAATTTTGCAAATAATAATAATAATATATGAACTTTATGTTATTTTGAATACTTTTGTCATTTTTCTTATAATTTTAGATAGCCTATATATATTACATGATTATGTATGTAGTTGGTATATTTTACGATTATTTTCTCAAAATATTTTAAATTATAGTAAGTATTCTATTTAACTAATTTAGCTTAAATTATGGTTATATTTCGAATCACTATTTTACAATTAAAATAATTATATTACTAAAATATAGAAGCTCGTTGATTAATTAATACAAATTCATTTTATTTAAGGTTTAGCCAAATTTATTATCCTAATTCAATTTGGCTATTCATTAAATTAACCCCTCTTAAATTTCCAATTCAATTTTTGGGTCTATACTCCAATAGTGAGCCCATTCCTTTTTATTTAATTTCCAGCCTACCAATTCCCATTTCCAAGCCCATTTTTCTTTTTTCTTCTCCCAGTCCATTTCGTTTTTAATTTCCAGCCCACTTTCTTTTTTACATTCATCAACAATTCCCAACCCAACTCATTCTCAGATTAATTTTCTAGGCCCAATTCTCTCCCCAAAGACCAAACCCACAAATCCAGATACCCGACCCATCATGTAGGTCTTCTTCTCTGCTAAAAATCACTGAGAAACCAGCGAAGAACGCAACAAAGTACGCTGCAAGCCAGATGCACGCCGAAATCCAGCGAGAAGTGGTATCCAACAGGACCATTGTACGCCTTGTTCTTCTTTTTCGTCAAAATCGGGCGACTCCAGCTCCAAGCGGCGTTATAGTGTACCATCGTTGTCCTTCTTGCTTGCAGACCCATCGCCCTTACATCCACTTTTTCCCCTTTTGCGGATTTTCAGAGTAAAGATCCAACTCCCCCACGCCTCTTAGCTATTGCCTCGAAAAAGAGCATTTTTAAATTGGAATTCATCCTTAATCTACCGGATTTCCCCTCTAACCGGTTTTAGTTCTTTTCTTATAAATACCAGTCGTATAACACTGTCAAAGGGGGGAGAAAAATTTTTTTCGAATATTATTTACTGCCCTAAAACAGAGGGAATTTAAAAAAAAAAAGGATTTGTTTTGCTTTTTGGATCTCATCGAAATCGGTTCATAATGGTGGAGTTCTTCACGATCAAGCTCGTCGTCCTAGTCTCGCTTCAATATGTTGTGTTATGTAGTCGATATTCGATAGAGGTTCGCTATGAATAACAATTAGTTTCTTCTTATTAGTCCTCTACATCGACATCTTTTACTGTGAATTTTTGAATCATAAGCATGAGTTAACAGGCTAATGATGTTTCTTTGGGATCATGTGTTGGTAGTTGGGTTCATTGGTTGGATTATATGTCGAAAGCTAGCTGAATCTTCATTAAATTTTCACTTGAAATAATAGACTATACATGTAGTTTTGACTTCAAGCATGCTGGATATTTGATGGTGCATTTTGGTTGTATCTTTGTCGTTTTCATATCAAAATAGCTTTCTCGTCGTGGTTAATTTAATCTCGTAATGGTTATTCATGTTCTTAGATGATTCAAAGGCTGGTTGGGTCTCATATGTACCAGCTATTGATGTTGTGCTTGTATTTCATCATTATATTGCTTTAACTTAGCTCATATTCATATTATTCTCTTACATCCGAATATGCATCGAGTCCTATGTGTTAAGACTTTTCGGTTTGTTAGTATGGTTGTTTCTAAATTCTACATTTACGAACATGTTATAAATTTTGACAAGTTCTTTATTACTACTAATTTGCATTGAGAGTTACTGTAATAGAAAGGATTAGATCCTTGTTTCACTTCTCATCTTACAAGTTGACCCTTCCTGCTAAAATGCTCAACTTTTGGATACCCCTCTCGCGATAATGTTCGTTTAAGTTCAGTTGCGACATTAAATTTAAGGTTTATTTTTAGTAAAAGGAGACCATTTAAGTTTAAATGTGTGGGT